CACAAGCCACTTGCAAAACTTAATCCCTTCAGTGACTGACTACAAGGAATCAAAGCCCTTTAAYTTTCTTTTCYTTAAAGATTAAAGTACCSTCACAGAAAGTTKTATGGTTGCTGAGTAAATTATTGTTGGAACCAACTCAAAACATGACCATCTGCAAAGCAGAAAAGTATGAAATGCAAAAATAAAGAACAACCTAGAGACTAAAAATTAATAATAATTCATCTGGAAAACACACAAATGACAACTGGAATCCAAAGATTTTGAATGTATGGACAGGTGGAAGAACCACCACAGTAAGATACCTATGTTAGCACTAATCAGCAGCTTCCCTATTACTCTAAGTTGGGTGAGAAAAGGGTTTTGACACAGCRCAGAGGACTTGGCTTACTCTGGATAAAGAGCTGCAAGCTCTGGATACAYGGGCACAGGAACTCTCCAGCAGCTGGGACCCCATCATTGACTCTCCACCTGTCTCGAGAGTCCAGTGTTAGTTAGTAAGTGAACATAGTGTGGCTCCAGCAGCAACTGCCTCTCCTTTCAGCAATCTTTTCAGCTCTGCTCATGCTTTCAGCCACATTGCTGTCCAGCCTGCCTTCTCCTGAACATGTCCCCCATTCTGTTCCTGCAACTCTCAGGCAATATGCTCCCAGGACTTATTCCTTTTCCAACTCCTTACAGATGCCCCCTACTTCCAGAAGTAATATATAGACCCTTCTTTTCATCACTCCATAGCCTGCTGTCTATACTTGTGAAGCAAGCAGTAAAAGTACCCCTCTTCAGACTCTCTGAACCAGGCATGGATCCCTAAATCCTAAATCATCACTCCATAGCCTGCTGTTCATACTTGGGAAGCAAGCAGTAAAAGAACTCCTCTTCAGACTCTCTGAACCAGGCATGGATCCCTACATCGAGTTCCCTTCAAATGCCACCTTTGTCTCAGGCACCAAAACCAGTACGCTTGCTCAGCTTTTTCCTGCTCCCAGCTACTACCCAGACCTGGAACAGAAAATTTAGGGGTTTTGCTTYGGGAATCTTTTTATTATTGGTGCTGAGGGCAAAAGTCCTCTGATGAGTGAGCTAGGTTCCCCATAGTTACAGAGGTCATGGATGGTGTCAGGGCAGTGCAGCTGGGAGCAGTGGTAAAAGAKGAAGTCCCTCTTCCCAGTGCCAGTGAGTCATAAAATTGGCTCAAAAAAGCTCATGACACCACAACCTGAGCTAWGCTTCCTCAGGCCCTGGTCTCCTGGACCCTATTGCTGGAGAGAAAACAACAACAGATTCTCTGTTTAGATAGGTTACTGAAATTCCTTTCGAGTTGCCTGCAGCTGCTCAGCAGAGATAGCCAGGAACAGCAGATCCTTGTGTCCCCTTAAGAGCACCAGAGTTTAGTGAATGCTGGTATTAAGTGCAGCATTTTATGCTAACTGGTACATACACACTGTTTTCCCATCTTATACCTACTTCAAAGCCTATTTTTTCATATCCACATCAAAATCTGTGAATAAACAGTATTTCTCTTYRCCATATTTKCTGCAATGTGATTTGGTTTCRTTCTGTCAATTTACTTTTAAGAATKACTTWTCTGATTAATCAGTCCTTTGCATACTTTATGTATGGAAAATACACTAAAACAGTATGAGAATAAAAACCACATTAAAATTCATAAGCTGCTACTATTCARTTTACTTCTCTTTACTATACCACCAGCTAATCAAACACTCTAGTGTCCCTCCATTTTCCCTTCTAGGCTTCAGAGGTGTAGGTTTTGCCCCTGCAGAACAGGGTTTCCAAAGAAAAGCACAATAAACCAGAGGATACTTGCAGACTCAGGAGAGAGCAGAAAATAATGCAAATTTCCCTGCCCCAAACATCCACATAGACCTTAAAATTACCATTTCATATGCACCAAAGAAAGTCTGTATGTGATGCATTATATTGCACATACCTCTGCACTCATTTCAARGCTGCTGGTGTTTAAGAGAAGGCAACTGTCTAAGTAGAAATCTTCCCAGAATYCAATCTGCCTTCTGTATCTATCTTAAAAATTACAGTTTCAAAGTACAAAACCCTTCATCTACAAAGATTTGGGAAAAACTTTCAACTTCTGAGCTACATTGTCAGATTGTCCATTTCCATTTTTAACATGAATATAATTATCTAAATTCTGCAGAAAGCCTACAAAAAATGAGCGATAACCCCAAGGAGATTATAACTTTTCTCTGCCACATTCAACGTTTTAATAAGTGTTGTTATAGCCATTTTCTAAATCAGGGCTGCATCTATACTTTTATTATATCCCAAAATATTCTGAAATTGGACATTTGCATGACTATATAAGAAMGAAACCAATTTCAAGATGAAATGCTCAGCAAACTGCTTCAAATTAGAAAATTTAAATGGGATCTCAGCCCCTCTATCTCTTGTATCTCAAGATGTGTAGAGAACTCCCTTCTCCTCAAGAATTCAGAATATGGACAATAGCCTGACCAGGAAAAGGAAAGATTAAGTGTTACAAGCCTGACAGTAATTTCCCAAAATCCAACAATTTTAAATTAAAAATAAAAAAATCAAACACACAAACAAGCAGGAAAAAAAATACCAACCAACAAACCTTCATATGTGAACTAAGACCTGATATAAATCAAAGGATAACATTAGTTCAAATTCCAGTGTATTCTCCCTACAGCAGCATGTGGCCTAAATAGCCAAATGACTGTTATTAAAAAGATGCTGAAAGCATAGCACACATATTTAACTTGTGATGTACATTTGGTTCATGTTACAGTGTGGGATTTAAGGGTTATTCACAGATTCACTGTGGTTCATGGYCTCTCAATAACACAGTAAGTTATTTATACAATTATTCAATTTGTGTTCCAAAGCTGCAGAACACCGTTCMTGTATAACACATCAACAGAATGTTACTGAGAAATTAAGGGTAAAAAACACACATTAGCATAAGTCTGTTGATTAAATGATTAACATAGACAAAAGYGTCTCCAAGGGGACTTGTGTAGATTCATGCATTTTACACTATGTAGATGAAGTGGAGCTTCATCTATAAAAAAACAAAAAGTCAAGTATGTGATTATTCCTTTCAGAGTTGAGCTGACTTGGTTTCGTTAAACCCCTGAGCATACCCCATCAAGCCAAACTGGCTACTATGCATCAACTTCCTGCCCTTGGACCTCCTTTGGCAGGTAAAAAATAATGCCACACGGACATGGATCTCAGTTGCATCTCCAGTTCAGTGTTTCCGAGTTCAGTCAGAATAATCCCTTTACTTTTGCCATCACAGACCACTTAATGAACACTGGAAGCCAAAGCACAGAGTGTCTTGCTGCAACCTCATGYTCAATAGAGTAAACCCCCCTAAGCTGAATCTTGATGGGACATAGAATACAAAAACTACAACTTAAAGAACAAGTAGAAAGTGCAGCTAATTACACAAGAAGAAAGCAAGATACAGTAATACTAAGAGATTCTGTAGAMTTTAAATTAAGCTTTAGAATGCTTRTAAGCAACGTTGTACTGCTTTTAACCTAAGTAAGGCCAAAAGGCATGCAAAAAGAAGACTTTAAGGACATGACAGCAGGCAAGAAGTATAGAAAYAGTTTGACATCTAATASCTAGGACAGAGTGCAGCCTACAAGYCTGGACCACTTCAGAAAACCACAGGGAACCAAATTAAGTTATAGGTTACATCTAGTCTGTCCAGAGAGAAATTACCACCTACTTTCCTGATTAATATTAATATAGTTTTACTCTGGTGATTAGTTTATAGAAAGTAAATGTTTGAGGCAGTATTAATCTATTCATGCTAAAMATGCCTATAACACTAAAACCATTGGTCCTTTTCACACATTTCATACATGACACTTGAGTACACTTAGGCCACTCAGTACTTTTTCTTAAGAACAATATGAATTTTAATCAATTTTTACAAAATTAGTCTGTGTACCTATTGCCTGCATACAATGCATTATTATATTGTATTATACAATATTTTATTTGCTGAAATACATACATAATCTTTCCAGGAAAGTCTTTTTAAATAGTCATTTGCTCTGCGGACCTACAATTAATCTTTACAGGATACTAGGTCACATCTAGGAGCAAATATAGGATTAAAAAATTAATTTAGCAAAATTTTGTTTGCACACTAGCATTAGAAATAATATATTTGGGAAAAGAGTATTCTGTTGGATGGTTTTAGCCATAAAACCTAACGGACTGGGTTGCATGGAAGTGCYTTTTTCCTCCCACAGGAAGCAGAAATGCCATCTGTGTCACAGACAGCTTTCTGCAAGCTTTRCATGTCCCACATTCTTTACTGGTGTAGTCCGGGACTTGGCAATGCTGGATTAACAGTTGGACTTGATGGTCCTAAAGGTCTTTTCCAACCCAAACGATTCCATGATTTTGCAGTTGAGCTGCGCTGCAGACCAGTCTCGCCATGCTCTTCATTTTTTCACTGTGGACCATTATATGCACAAGAAATATGAAACTGAGCTTAATGTGCAAGCCTGGTGGGAGGCTACATTACCAAATGYAGTTTCCAAATGGCTGTTTCATCATTTAATTTTTAATTTGTATTTTCACATCGTTTCGCACATCTCGCACCATCTCCCTTGTATTATGTACTTGGGGAAAATAAAGCGCTTCTTTATCACACCATTTTTATCCATAAAGGATAATGGACTGCAGTGTATGGAAATACTTCTGTTSTCCCGCACAGACACTTTATTTTAGGTCTTTGTCAAGCCTCCTGTATCTGGGGCTCCGCCGAGGCCCTGCAGCCCCTGCCAGGTTCCCCTCAAGACTCACCAAGTGCGTGAGACCCTCACCGCTCCCCCGCGCTGCCTTACACCCCCTCCCCCCCATTCTCCCTAATGGCACGTTCCACGGGCGGCGGGCAGGCGGCACCGCCCGCAGCGGAGGCACCGCTTGGGACGTTCCACCGCAGGAACTCAGGGGGCGCGGCTTCCGGGCGCCGACTTCGAAACAGGAGCGCGCCGCCGGCCCCGCCATGACCCAGTCCGTGGTGGTGCAGGGTAAGGGGGTCATGGAGCCCACAGCTCCCGCCGCCCCCTCCCCGTGCCTGAGCCGTGTCTCTCCCCTTTGCAGTGGGACAGTGCGGGAACCAGGTGGGATGCCGCTTCTGGGACCTGGCGCTGCGGGAACACGCCGCCGTCAACAAGGTAACGGCGCCGCTGGCCCGGGGAGCCGCCCCTCGCTGCCTTCCGCGTTCCTCTCTGTGACCGCAGAGTGCTGTGTTTGTTTGGTTCAACTGAGGCCTTTCACTGCGAGCAAAACCGCCCCAGGTTCTTGTGCCGTTTAACTAATCGTGAAACAAATCGTAAGGTTAACTGTCAAGAGATCTGGTTAAATCATAGGGCTCGGTAGTCACCAGTCGTATGAAGTTTAACAAGGGAAAGTGCCAGATTCTGCACCTGGGATGGGACAGCCCTGGATGTATGGACAGACTGGGGAATGAGATGCTGCAGAGCAGTGCTGCAGAAAGGGATCAAGGGGTCCTGCTCCATGGCAAGTTGAACATGGGTCAGCAGTGCCCTGGCAGCCAGGAGGGACAGCCCTGTCCTGGGGGACATCAGGGACAGCATCCTTGCCAGGATCCTTGCCAGCCAGACAAGGGAGGGGGGTTGTCCTGCGCTGCTCTGCACAGGGGTGGCCTCATCTCGAGTGCTGGGGGCAGTTTTGATACCACAATATAAAAAAACACATTAAGCTATTAGAGAATGTCCAGAGAAGGCCCACGAGGATAGTGAAGGGTCTTGAGATGAAGCCATTGGAAGAGCAGCTGAGGTCACTTGGTCTGTTCAGCYTGGAGAAGTCAGAGGACAGACCTCACTGCAGGCTGCAACTTCCTCATGAGRGGAAAGGGA